AATTTTGAACAAATGACATGACCCGAAAATTCCCGACTTCTGGGGGGAGCGGGGCAACTTTGTAATTTCAAACCCCAATTTTTTTATTCGATATCTCGATTTTATTTAACAAAAAAGTATGAAGAATGTATTCGAAACATTTTTTTGTCGTGGTGATAGGCGCCGTTGTAATCGCAGAAACTAATTTCAATTTTGCTAATGTTTATGTTAAAAAAACATTTTACAGAACTACAATTTAAAAAAACCATAAAACATCATAGAAAAAAATAAACTCTAGTCTACTCAGCTCATGACAATAGATAATACTGAAATTTTGGAATAAGAATCCTAGAATCTTTAAAAAAGCGAAATTGTCGAAAAAATCTTTCAAGAATCAATAAAAATATTATTAAAAATTTACTTTTTTTAAATCTAAGGACGTCTGCGGAATTTCCGGAATATGTTTAGGGAGAATCTCTGAAGATGCTTTAAAATGTAACGGAAGGCAATTAAACAGATATTATCATGGTTTAAAAAGTTCTACAAGACACTGTTGAGATATTTTCAATTCAACGTTTCGTTTCGGAGAAATCATCAACTTTATTTTTTTATGCCCCGTAAAACCAGGTGTCAAATTCTTGACAGAATAGCTTCCTAGCTGAAACCAAAAATTGCCAACATATGTACGCACTTACAGACGGGAAAAATTTATTCTTTAAAAGTTGCTTAAAATGATCTAAAACGTCAACATTTGATGAAATTTCGCATTGCTAGGAAGCTAATGTTCCATAAATAAGAAAATTGCATTTCTGCGCATGCGCAACACGATTTTTGCGCATGAATTTTGTTTGCTTTTATTAAAGGGACTTACCATAGAAATTTCGTTTAAATTGCTTCAGAAACAAGATCGTTGCGTTTTGCACATATGCAACACAATTTTTTGACTTTGACAATTTTTTTCTCCGTTTTTTGATAATATAACCCGGCCCAATTTTTTGTAGGTTGTACACAGGAAAATAAGGTCTTCCAAATAATAGAATAAAAATTTTAGGTTGCTATTTGAAAAAAAAAGTTCGATGCCGTTACGGCGCTCCAAAATTTTTTTTCAAAAATCCGCCCCGTTATTTTAATGTTCGGTATGCCTAAAACATATATACAAAATTTCAACAAAATCCGTCGAGCCGTTTTCTCAGAAAATTGCCAACAAACGTATGTACGTACGTACGTACATACAGACGGAAAAAATTTTTATTCTTTAAAAGTTGCTTAAAATGGTCTAAAACGTCGACATTTGATGAAATTTTGAAATGTTCAAAAAACGGCTATCGCAATAGCTACCTAGCACATGCTAGGAAGCTAAAAAGTACACACTGTATTGAATAGCTTTTTGGTTACGAATACAGAGCACAACATAATGGGAATCGTTGATTTCAACAAGATGGTGTACCCGCGCAAAACACCCTATCATGCGAGAATACCTATCGGACAAATTTCCTGGAAAATAGAAAAATTTGTCCGATAGGTATTCTCACGCGATTAGGGTGTTGTGCGCGGGTACGCCATCCTGTTGAAACCAACAGTTTGCAACTTTTGTTTTTTTTTGCGTGCCGTATATCGTTGTATTCGTAATAAAAAATTCTACGCAATACAGTATGTACTCTTTTTTTACGGGCCATATACAAAAAAGTTGATTATAATTTCTCCGTTGTATTGAAAATCTCGTTGTATCTTCTATGGCTATCTATGATACATCCTTATCTTCGACACAATGTATAAAACAAGTTGTAAATCAGCACATGCACGATGAAATCGCATTTTTCGGTAATACGGATCAGTAGGTACATATTTTATTAGCAAAGTTTAAAATTATCGATCTCACTAGTAATCTAACTAAAAATAGACTAGAGAGTAGTCAGTAGAGCCTGCACATCTACCTACACTATAGTGAGCAGATAGCTCTGAGTGAAAATTTAAAGTCTCAAGCCATTGTAATTGCCGAGATTTTAACCGAACAGTCAGCCAGCCAGCCAGCCATAACGAATATAATAACGTAGGTATTCTTTTCCAAAAATGCGCTAAAAATCTTTCAATGTATCATCAATATCTGAAAAATGTATTTCAAACATATTCAATTCCCTAAAGAAACACTGCCGGCATTGGAGAATCTAATTGTTTCTTATTTCTGCGGAGGTCAGACGACATGGTTTGGTTGTACTTACATTTACTACACGCCTGGGCCTGACGCTTTCTTCGATGTAGGGAATTTCTTGGTGGTAGTCGAATAAGAATAACCATCCTAGTAGGCAAACTGCATTCTTCCTAGAAATTATCTTCAAAATACATAACTCATTGATCTTGAAATATATTCTAAGAACAAACCTAAAAAAGCTCTTATGAAAATCTAAAAATATAATAGCATCCCATTTTCTTTAGCATAAAGTGATAGTCCCTCTAGAGGATTTTTTTAATATAGGAGGATTCGTCAAATAAATACTGACGGCATTGGCGAATTTGATTGTTTTATAATTTCCGTGGCTTACCATTGGGATCTCCGCAACGGTGAGAGATACAGTGTAAATTAATGAGGGCAAAGTTGTTTTTGTGACAAAACTGAATTATCATCAAAAAACTGTAAATATAAAATTTCGTTTTTATTTTTCGTAACTTAGACGATTGGAAATGGAGGCTCCCGTGAGCACCTTCTACGTTCTATAGGGGCACTTTTTTTTCGGAAAATCTGAATCAGTTCCTTACCAGAATTTCTATAACACGCTAGATGTAGAAGCCAGCCATAACGAATATAATATCGTATTTTTTTTTCAAACATGCGCTAAAAATAATATTGATCCAGCAAGATCTAGTTACCCGTGGATGTTTTGTTGAGAAATTAATGTAAAACACTTCATTTTGAAATTTTTCTTATAAATGTATGTAAAATATAGTGCGACACGTCAATATTTATCTTTTTTTGCCCTCTATCTCATTCCGTAAAAATTCAATATGGCGTCCATAAGAAATAAGAAAGTAGTAGCCTGTAGCTTTTATTCTTATGAAAGATTCAGATCCCCGAAAAAAACCCATAGAAAGTATTAACGGGAACCGACCTAGAGGAAAAATAAAAACAAAATTTACTATTTTCGGTGATATAAAAATTTCAAAAGCGTTTTCTTAGTCAAAAAAAGAGGCAACGTTGCCCCTATTTAATCTACGCTGACATCCTTATCTTCAAAATCGCTCATAGGTCTTAAAAATCTTCTAAAGAACAAATCTAAAAAAGCACTTTTAAAAATGTTTTAAAAATTACCTCAAAAATGTTACCTACAAGGAGCTGTAAGAATTTCGAAAAGTTCTGTAAAAAATTTAGGAATATGTAAGGTATCTGTGAAAGAATTCCTTAGAGATCTCTGAGAACTCTTGGGAAATGCTATTTAGAATCTCTGAACAAAATATTTGAAGAACCTTTCTTCCCAATTTTGTCACTCCTTTGTTATCTTCGTTTATGAGTAGGTAAATTATGCTTGGTTTGTTTCCTTCTTTGGTTGTTTATTGGCGAAAAGTTTGGAGGTTCAAAGATTCGTGGCGAAATGATAAGTTCAACAAGTTGCTACCGTTTTCTTGATATGGCAGACAGCGCAGTCTCTTATATTGAGTTATATGTATCTGTAAATAAATCGCTTTTCTTCTTACTGCACTTTTAAGGGTACTCGTAAGTATAGCAATTATATTAATCATAAGACGAGTACCTACCTATAGTTCTTTTTGCCTTCGTGGGGATAGAGCTGAAAGTTGGTAGGGCGTCTAGGTTTATCGGATCCATAATGATCGCTCCATTGTTTTTTTAAATGTTTTTATAATACTCTCAGCCATCTGAGCCATCGATTTGGTTTTCCCACAGGATATGCGATATGCCGTTTCGTATGTAGGTATAAGCCAAAGTTTGAGTCATTATTAGGAAATGTAATTTTTCTCGACGGTGTTTATCAGTGCATGTTCACAGTCTTTTGGTGCAATTTTTTTAAATAAATGGAGTGCAGACAGTAGAATGATTGAATATTGAACAATGGATACTTACGATTTGAAATCGTTTCTTATAAATTGTGTGAATTTGGATTGCATTCTTAAATTCCACACTAGTGTGAATGCCTGTCTAACATTTAATTGACTTGCACACGAATTTAAATCCTCAACTCCCTTTATGATTTAGCAACGCTAATCAGTTGCCGATTATCTACCGATTTTGCAGAGAAATAATATTGTCGTGCATTGCCATTTACCACTTTTGGGTAGATGTGTATTCGGGTAAAAGACTTATTCCGAATGGTCCAAAATAGTCAACTCATAAATCTATCTAGCGTGCATAGAAAATTTTCAGACTCGGCCAATTCCACAAACCACATCTCGCACGTCGATTCCCAAATATTGATTGGGAAAAATTGCATATACTTACTATGGAGAACAAGAGTGGTGTATCTATAATTTCAGAGGCAAACAAAATTCATTTTCGTCGAGCTGAGTTTCCGTCCGAAATTTTATTTGATTTCGCACGTTTTTCGTTCCTGCTTGTAGGTATTTCGACGCAAAGGTAACATTTTCTCATTTCTCACAAAAAAGTTGGATATTTGTTGAGCGAAACGAGATTTGAGGAAATACCCTTTTAGTTATAAGAACGACCCCAAATTTACGCGGATTGTATGCTATGACCTATAAAACGCATTTTCCTTTCCTATGTTATTCCAGTAAAGGATTTGCGGTTCTTGTCGAAGTTTAGGTCTTAATAAAAGGAAAATGTGACACTTATTTTGTATTCAGTGTTTGATGACGTCATAAAATTTAACCTAACAACAATATGGTGTGAATCCGGTCAATGTTGACTGGCCATCGAAGTATAAACAAATTTCCGGAGTTGTGTCAAATGGGCCTATCCGGCACTGCGGAGGCGGTTCGCAGTGCCAAGCCGCCCCCAACTGAATTCGCATGCTATCAAACCTAGAGACGCTCAGGACGCGCATTCTATCACCGCCGCGAGCATCAGTAGGTTCAAGTATTGCATCGCGAAATATACGCGCGAGTGACAAGTGCGACGGAAGTCAAATGCAGCAGACCCTAGGGGTGCGTGACGTGGGGATGGAGCCGGACGAGCAGCATTTAGCTGAGGAATACGTGCAGGAATTTGTACTTGATCATTTAGGTGATGTTTCCGTCAAAAGGGAAGACAAACGTCTCCAAATGGAAACGGAGTGGGTTTCCGCTCCCGATGAGGACACCGAGAAAGTATGTAGAAATTGGAACGAAGATCGGCGCCTACCACCGATTTCTCCACCAAATTCCGGCATATACGGCGCCCCAACGCAAATGTTTTTAAATATGGCTCTAGACCCAGGTACTCCACCAGATACGCCACCGAGTCATTCACCAGCTCCGTGTCGTCCATCGGGATTCGTCGATGACATAATGTATTATTACCCAAATCCTAGACCAGAGCCTCAACCCTTGGATTTGCGACCAACCCATTCGACGTTAAACGAAGGTGGAGAATGGGAACGCCGAGAATACATTCCTGCTGGAATGCTCATCGACCCAACTCATCATCACCATCACCACCATTTGCTACATAATCAAAGGCCGCAGTCCTGCAGCAGTGGCGGTAGTGCGTTATCACCCCGCATGAGCAGTAACAATAATAATAACAGTGGCTATTCTACATGTAGTGAAGATGTTTATCTCAGTGACCACATGCTGATATCCTTATCTGTGCGAGAACTTAATAAAAAATTACACGGCTGTCCGCGCGAGGAGGTTGTGCGCCTTAAGCAGAAGCGAAGAACACTCAAAAACCGAGGATACGCGCAAAATTGTAGGTCGAAACGTCTTCAGCAACGCCAAGATCTCGAGGTAGCTAACCAACATTTACAGGTCGAGTTAAATCGAACCAAAGTAGAACTGGCGAGGGTAATTCAGGAACGGGATATACTGAAGCAACGGATTCAGCTGCACAGTCGCCTACCGGGAGGGCAACATAATCAAAATTCCGAAGAACAAAATCCCACCGAATTTTACCTGTGACATTACTTCCCGGGCAGGAGGACGTAGTATTCTGCCCGACGCTGCTACCATCATTCAGCCCCCCCGAAAGTAAAACCGAAATGTAGTGAGAATGTGTGAAAAGTGAGTGGATTTTGAATGCGGTAAATCGTTGCTTCCTTTGTTGTTTTTTAGCTTTTAAAGAAATGACGTTTATTTGTTATTGTTAGAATTTTTTCAATTACATGTTAGTTGTAGTATTAAATACCCCCGGGGCTAAATGCATATCTTTTTATTATGAGTAACTAGTGGTGTTTGGGCAATCATTTTTTCTTCTCTATTTTTATACGATGGTGATGCGAATAGCATCTTACAGAAAAAATAATGACCCTTAGTTATATTTTTCCTATAACTAAAGTCATAATGGTTGTGTTTTAAAATACAATGTTAACACTATTACTATGTTATTAAATATTGTAAATAAATTTAGTATCAATAAATTATGGTTTAGAGAGAACCTGTGTTAAATTCAAAGCATCATTGCAGGAATGAGATGAATAAGCAAAACACCCGTTTCTGTAACAATTCTGCCGACACTATCTAGGCGTCAAAGGTTGCAGACATTTTTTCCCAGCCAATTAGATTATTACAATGTTATCGGGAATAAGGTTACATACATTCCTATTTAAAGGCGCTTAGTCTAAATTTAGAGTCTGCTAAATCTCACCTCTTGCTTTTTAATTATATCAGTCTCCAGTCGCCCATGTTTTATTATTCCTTCGTAATAAGGTTAAGTATACAACAATAATTACGAAGGCCTCTTTCTCCAAAACAAAAACAAATTCCTACTATAAAATAAACACTTCTTAGTTAACTACCGCAGATTTGTTTAGGTGAAAAACTTCCTGGATGTGAACGGAAATCTATTATATTTACCAAAATAGGGAATGACCTTTTGTACGTACAGTAAAATTGTACAGGTATACGTAATTGCAAAGGGCGTCGGCGTAACATGCGCGCCGTCGCGACGCCTCGCACCAATGGCAAGGGTAGAGAAATGTTATTGGTCAGCACTTAGCTTTGCTCGAAGAACTTTCGACTTTTTTATGACGTCATTCTCATTAGCGTAATTGTTAATTGTATCTTAAATTTAAAAGCCCTTTCGCAGCGTTGGGCGAATTACTTTCAACATTTTTTCACTTAGGTAGTCTACCCTGATTGTGCAGTTTTTAGGTGTACCTACCTACATCGTATTAATGTGCTTTGTACAATCGACATTTTCATAAAGGTGGGAAAATTTTCACCACAAACCGCCCCGATAAAAATTTATTTAAAATAGGTAAACGTGTTGCATTTTGGAAACATAAAGGGAATGTGAAAATCGCTCAACCGATTATTCGGCATGTAGACGGTTTCAGTGAAATAATTATGTATATTGTAAGTACATTTTTAAATTGCATCAGTCTGGAAAGTCAATTTTCCTCGAAATGCCAATGTAGAGAGGTGACTCGACTCTTAGGTAGCTCCCCGGATAGGATTTTTAAATATAATATTTACTATAAGCATAATGAACGATTCTGGACGAAAAGGTTTTTAAATCGATGCGGTTTATTAACAAAAAACGTCGTGTTGAAGATTTCATTCAAGCCCCTCGCATATCTGAATAGTTGAAACTGAAAAAGAAAGGGATACGCATTTTTATACACCGAAAAATGAGAAAAATATCGCTCAGTCTATTTTTTCAGAATATGTAATTCACTACAATCGACTACGGCCGTTGAATTGTGCGCTTCCAATTTTTGCAAATCACTCTTACGACACGGAGACAAATTGTACACGAAAAGGAGCTATTTTTGAGTAGGTAGCTAATATTAATCTGAAAATCGGCCTGGAAAGCTCTTTCATAATTTCTTTCATCTCTTAACGCTATGATTTTAACCCCCAATTTAAACAGCGACCGCAAAATAGTGTCAGGGCATATTGGTAGAAAATGATCCCTAGGGCCTAGACGTATCTACTTCACAAATAAATAAGTCTTAAAAAGATACCCCCGTCACCTATTGATTATAGACTGGTTCATTTTATTTCATAATTATTCAAAAGTAGCTTATGAACTTTATTTAACTTGGGTGAATAACAACTTCGGGAATAAAAATACTGCAAGATATACAATCGATCAGTACCAATACCTTCGTTAAATGCTCGGTTAAATGCCTTTTTTAGGTCAATACGGTAGAGCTGTTCACCATATACTTAGGTTAGGTGGTAATAGTATAATAAAGATTAATTAATTTGTTTAAACAATACTTAACATTTAGAAAAAAACTAAACACGGATTATCTTTATGTACAAGATCACAGGCCATATCTATGGAACCGTTAATTGCACAGATTAAGGAAAAAGTTTAGTTACCAAAGGGGACAAGAGGTTTGCCCTCGGGTTTACCGCTGGAGAGAGGCCCTACATGGTTAAGTAGGAATATGGTTTTTCCCTATAATATACCCAACAAACATGCAAGATGCACGTTATGCGTTGCTGTTGTGTATAAACCACCTAAAAACTAATCATGTAGATTTTTTAAACAACTTAGAAGATGAAATTTCCGTAATCCTACCAAGCGTTGACGAGGTTTTTTGTGGTAGGAGATTTTAACATAGACGTTTTTAAATTTTTGATAGTACTCAGGCTTAAAGATTTTTCGCCATTTTTGGTAGTGGATTAGGATTACAACAGGTTATCGATGCTCCCACACGAATCAATAATAGGTCTTCAACATACATACTTAAACTCTGTGTACCGTTTCTTTTGCCGTACATAACTCACGTAATAAATTTTTGCATCACAAACTCCACTTTTCCTGCTCAATGGAAATTAGCACGAATTATTCCGCTTGCAAAAACGAACAACCCACGTGACCTTAGGGATTTCCGGCCTATTAGTATATTGCCTGTGTTATCAAAGGTACTTGAGAAGGTCTTAGATTCCCAAATACGCAAATATTTAACTATCAATAAATTAATTCCAAGCATCCAATCTGGATTTAGGCCGGGACATAGTTGTACCACCGCACTCCTAAATATTACTGACGACATCATTCGTGCAACTGATAATGGTGAAGTAACATTACTGGTGCTTCTCGATTACAGTAAAGCGTTTGATACAATAGACCACCATCTGTTACTGGCACGGTTGCATCACATTGGTTTTAGTAGCCCGGCAATGAAATTGATTACGGATTACTTAAGTGACCGATACCAATCAGTTTGTCTGAACGGCGAAAATTCTGATTTTCTTCGTACATGGAGGGGAGTACCGCAAGGGTCTGTATTGGGTCCACTTTTATTCATGGTATATACGTCAACATTTTCTAATAAGTTAAAACACTGTAAATCGCACTTTTACGCAGATGATACACAAATTTACTTATCTTTTCCTGCAGATCTAGCAACGAGTGCATGTAAATTGATAAATGAAGATCTAGAATCGATACAAAAAGCCTCGGAAGAACATCATCTACAATTAAATGTTACCAAAACACAATCAATACTATTTGGTAGAAAACAATCGAGACTAAAGGCCCTACCTGATCTTAAATTGATTCTGAATAATCAAAATATTGCGTTAAGTGATTCAGTAAAAAATCTTGGGTTAATTATGGACCACCAATTACGATTTAAGGAGCATGTCACAAAGAACCTTAACGCATCGTATGGGATACTAAAACGTATTTACCAGCATAGGCATCTAATGAATACAAAACTGAAAGCTCGCATTTGTAATATCCTTGTACTATCTAGATTTAATTATTGCGATACTGTTTATGGTCCATGTTTAGACTCCGTTGACGTTGGTAGGGTTCAGAAACTTCAAAATTCTTGCCTACGTTTGATTTTTGGCATTCGTAAATACGAACGAATTAGTCATAAATTAATCACGTTAGGTTGGTTAAACATGAGTAAGCGTCGTCACCATCATGCTGCATCACTTTTTCATAATGTTATCATGAGCAAATGCCCACAATATCTATATCAAAAAATATCTTTTCGTACTGATGTTCACAACCTCAATTTAAGATACAAAGGCAAGCTGACACCACCGATTCACAATTCCCAATATTTCAAAAGAGCATTTTCTTATTATATTGTAAAAATCTATAATGAGGTACCAGACATCGTAAAACAGTTTACAAGTGCTCGGTTCAAAAACAAACTCTATTCGCTTATGAAAAGTGGCTTAACGTTCAATGTTTAGAGTAGTAACCATCTATGCAATTAAAGCAACACCATTTTGAAATATTTGTAGTATACATGTAATGTACGGGGTTAAGTGGTAGAGCAGACTACGGTATCTTACTGTGGAACTGAACTTCGCCCCATTTCACCATTTTTTATATGTATTTTTTTCTTATTTCGCCAATTTAATAAAGGCATTATTATTATTATTATTATTATGGTCGGTGTTTCTTGTGAGAACTCAGATCTAGCCTGGTTAACTAATCGCACGGATTAAAATCAAGTAACGATTAGTGTCTGTGTCTGTGTCTGGTGAAGTTATGTAGGGTCCTAAAAAAATAAAATAAATATAATAAAAATAAAAATTCACACACTCACATTGGAAATCTAGAGATAGTATGTAATTCATACTTACCAACATAGCTATTGATGGGCACAATAGCCAACGCTATCAGGAAAGAGGAAAACAAAACAAAACAAAAAAAAATCATTATAATAATTCCTGTAATTTTATTAAAATGGAGTTTATTGTGTAAGTGTTTCTTTGGCTTTGCGTTTGGGTTGAATACGAGTGGGTTGTGATAACGTGGTGTGTTTCTGTGAAGAAGGAGTTTTGTGTTTTTTAATTGTATTTATGGTCTTTCTTTGTTCCTGAGGTCGTGTTTGTGAGGTTGCTTGGGTTTTTGGTGGAGATATTGCAGTATTTTGTGAGCCTGTGGTGCTGTTAAGGTTTTTGCGTTTCGGTTGTATACGAGGGGGTTGTTTCTGAGAAGAAGGAGTATTGTGTTTTTTAACTGTGCTAGGGATATTTGTTCTATATATTTTGCTCGCCCCCGCGACCCCCAGCGCAAACCATCGCACGGACCAAAAATCAAGCAATTATTATATATTATTATATTATTATTAAAAATACATATATAATGCAATCTTGTATGAATTTGCATCATTTTGGTGGCAGCAATATGCGGTAGCTCAAAAAAATGAGGGGTGGAGAAGGGGAATATCTCCTAAGCAGTTGAATGTAACTTGATTACCTAGTTAACCGATTTTACATTAATTGTCTTATCAGAAAGAGCTCTCCATCTATGGTTTTGGAGCTCTTATCTTGACTCAGTGTATATTATGTTATATCATGCATTTTTCAAATTTTGGAATATGTTTCTACGTCAGCCATTTTTATTGATTAATACCTACACTACTTAATTACCATGGATAGAATAAAAAAAAGAAAATCTCTATGACCATGGCCACTCGGGTAATAAGCTTTATTTTTGGTTCATGGCTA